CAGCTGCTCTTGATGAACATAACATCTATGATAGCTTCCAGTCAGGTTTTCGTAGAGCTCATTCTACTGAAACAGCTCTTCTTAGGGTCTCTAATGACCTTCTGACTCACAGTGATGCAGGGGACTGTTCTGTTCTGGTCCTGCTGGACCTGACTGCAGCCTTTGACCCTGTTGACCATCACCTGCTACTGGAGAGGCTGAGAGACTGGGTAGGCCTATCAGGATCTGCTCTGGAGTGGTTCTCCTCTTATCTTTCTGAGCGCTCCTTTTCTGTGGCCGTCTCCAAGTTTAGGTCCTCCACCACCTCTCTTACCCATGGTGTCCCACAAGGTTCTGTGCTGGGGCCTCTACTCTTCCTCCTCTATCTGCTTCCTCTTCAGCACATCCTGAGCTCCTTCAAAGGAATCTCCGACCATCTTTATGCAGATGACATCCAGCTACAGTATACATCTCCTTTAAGCCCCATGAGATGTCTAAGCTGCAGCTGTTACACACCTACTTAGACTATCAAAGCCTGGATGGCTGGGAGCTTTCTACAGCTGAATGAAGATAAGACTGAGATCCTCATCTGTGCCCCAGACAAGCTGGTTCCCAAAGTCAGAGACTCTCTTGGTCAGCTTGCTTCTCACACCAAACCTTCCGTCAGGAATCTTGGTGTGACCTTTGACCCAGCTCTCACCCTGGATTCTCATGTCGGTTCTCTTGTTTGCTCTTCCTTCTTCCATCTCAGGAACATTGCTAAGCTGAGTCCCATTCTGTCCCGCTCTGAACTTGAGACAGTTATCCACACCTTCATCTCCTCATGCGTAGACTACTGTAACTCTCTTTTCACGTGTCTGAGCAGAACCTCCCTGAACCATCTACAGGTGGTTCAGAATGCCTGTGCTCGGCTTCTGACCAAGTCCTCCAAACACACCCACATCACCCCACTTCTCCTCCAGCTTCACTGGCTGCCAGTCAACTTCAGGGTTCATTTCAAGATCCTGGTTCTGGTCTATAGGGCCTTACATGGACAAGCACCATCTTACATTGGTGAACTTCTTAGTCCCTACACCCCCAGCAGGTTCCTGAGGTCCAGTGATCAAAGCCTACTGGTTGTGTAGCACCAGGCTAAAGACCAAAGGTGACAGATCATTTGCTGCTGTGGCCCCCAGACTCTGGAACTCTCTCCCCCTGAGCCTGAGATCAGTGGACTCAGTGGTCTCCTTTAAAAGGCAGCTGAAGACTCACTTGTTCAAAGTGGCTTTTGTATGACCTTCTTCACCACTCTCTCTTTATTCTGCTCTCCCCACCTATTCCACCTTCCTCAGGATCCACTGATTTCCCTCTTTCCTATTCACTCTCTCTCTTTCTTAACCTTTTTTTTTATCACAATTGTCTCTTTTTGCTCATTTTAAATATATTTTTAAACATTTTCTAAATGCTTTTTTATATTTTTACTTTTTTTTTGTTTTTGTTTTTTTGAAGCGCCTCGTGATTTTTATCTTGAGAGGCGCTATAGAAACGATATTTTCTTCTTCTTCTTCTGCATTTCTGGCAGAAACTTTAGAAATGTAAAAACAAAACCCTTAAATGTTGATATTTGTTCTGGTTGGGAATGAAGTATGACATGACAGTCCTGGTTCTGTGGTCCAGGATCAGAGACTGTTAGTCTGATGGAGGGGGTTAGTCTCTACTGGATTATAAATAGATTAAATTATGCTGTTTCACTGTAACGAACCAGATTCATTTGGAATGGTTCTGAATTTAACCTTTACTTTTGATGAATTGGACTTAATCTGACTGACTCAGATTGAAATAGAATAAAGGATTTGGAATGTGATGCATTTATTTCAAATCAACTTTGCTAAACAACAAATGAAACGGCATTAAACCCAGACCAAATAGAGAATAGAATTTAATTGATTAGATTAGATTGAATTTATTTAATTTGGATTAAACTGAATGAAGATGAATTGAATCAAATTTAAACTAAACTCGAATATGAATCTGACTGGATTTAATCCAACTGGATTATATTTAGCATCAATATAACCTTTTTTAATTGTTTTGGCTAAAGCAGGTCCTCAATGAATTTAATTCAACTTGGACACAAATGTAATTCTCTGTAAACATTCATTACATTTTGGTTTTATACAAATTAAACTATAAAAACATGCATGTATTAATCCAGACTAGGAAAGCAACTTTGATTTTACACCACTCTATTTTCATGAAGCCTAACATGACGCATGTGGCAGAACCAGCCATCTCTGAATAATGAGCGGGTTTTCAGGTCTCCAGGTAAGAGGATCGGACGGCGCCTGTGGTCCGGCGGATAAAACAAACAGAGGCCTGGGGCTGTGGTGTTTGGTCACGGGCTCGAAGCGTGTCGATAAAACTTGTTGCTTTTAAAACACAACATGTAGATCCTTCTACGGTAAACCACAGAAGTCTATGTTAAACAACTCCAGCTAAAGTTATACCTCCTCCCTTTGTCTCTCCAGTGGGGTTCATCTACAACCCAAACACATCTGATACCCAGCCTGAAATCCAACCCCGTTCAGGTTCTGGGCCAGAGCTCCAGCTGTCAAACAAGATTTTTGTTGCTTGTCCAGAAAAATCTGGAACTCTGTAAACGTTCTGATAGAAGAAACAGTCGAGGAGACGTCAGAATTGAGCTAATGAGGATCTCATATGAGGGAAACAAAGACTTCTCTGACACACACACACACACACACACACACACACACACACACACACACACACACACACACACACACACACAGAAACACTTGAAGACAGCAAAGAAAAATACAACTTTGGATCACGAGTGGGGAGTCAAAACCTGAGATTTATATTGTTCATCATCATCATCATCATCATCATCATCATCATCATCATCTTCACCTTCCTCACAGATGTATTTATAATCTGACGGCACCAGAGACATCTTCATCAACAAGTTTCACAAACATCAGTTGAGTGATTTATGGGATTTTGTGCTTCCAGAGGAATAAAATTAGACTTTTGTTGCCAAAAGAGACCAAATGAATCATGCTGAACTCCTAAATCTCAGTACAAATGTGTCTGTTTGTCAGGAAGTCATAACTGATGGCTCACAGGAGTTTCACTTTGATTTGATGCTGAGTCAGAGTGTGAAGAAGATCCATCCAATAATCCAAGACCAGAACACAATCGGTGGCTGAGGCCAGTCGTGTAATCCCACTCTAGTTGATCAAAGGCTCGTTTTATAACAAACAGCTGAAGCTGTGATGTTGTTGTGTTGAGATGCTCGAATCAAACGCAAGTCTGTCTTCATCTGTTAAACTTCTCTGACAGCTCATGGAGTGTTGAGTCACCATCAGACGAGCGTAGGAGCCACAGCCGCCACGTTTCACGAGCCAGAGATGCTCTGTTCTGCAGAACTTGGACCAAATCTGAATGACTTAATGAAAATCCAACGGGAATAAAAGAAAAAGGAGGCAGAGAGGAAACAGCAGACCCACTCCCAGCAACTTCCTCCACCATTAATTGAAAGAAGAGGCTTTGGCAGCAGAGGGCGGCGTTTACGACCCAAACTCGATAGAATCTGGAGAAGATTTCAAAGTAAAGCAAGAGGAGCCAAAAATAAAAAGAAGCTTAAAACACAGTCCTACAAGTTCACTGAGAGGCAGATTTATAAATAGGAGGCTCAAACTTACAAATAAACATGTTTAGGGTGGTTTTTCTATAAATATTAATAGTAACTGGAAACTCACCAACATATAATCAAATCATCAGCATCTGGAGATTATTCACCTAAAGCTGGTTTATTACACACCAACGTGTGATTCATGGAATACCTTAGGAGTTTTGGTGAGGATACGTCGTCTTCCCTAAAGACAAAATTGAGTTTCTAGTGAAACAGGTGAGAAAGCTCCGCCCCCTTTTGGTTTGTAGCTCAGGTAGAACTCACAGTTTAAACCTTTGTAAATTTCACAGTGAAGGAGGGAGAGACACAGATGGGCAGTTACTATGGTGACCCTACTGAGCCACTGGAAGCAGCGTTAACATTTCTGATGGCTTTGGTTTCCTTTATGAACTTCAGGTTAGGCGTGTTGTCTGTGATCTGAGCTTAATGAAAGCGATGTAAAGAGTCTGGACAGGCTCCTGCAAAATGTCTTCAGATTTGACCGTGTTTGGACTTTTACTGGACAACTCACTCCACCCAAAAAAGCATTTTTAGCTTTTTACCTCCAGAATGAATTTACTTCGCTTTTCCTTTGAAACGTGACATCATTACGTTTCTGAGAGGAATCAAACCAGAAGTTTCTCTGAGGGATTCAGCTAAGGTTAAAGCACCTGAAAAGCAGCAGGATCAGACGGAGGGTTAGACGTGTGCACGGTTCAAGGAAGCAGCCTGTTGAAGCAGCCTCAATCTGCTTCGAATCCGTTCAACCGGCAGACTCACAGATTTGACTAAAACTCAGTTTCAGATTTTGTCATCCAGGATTTTCCTCAAGGACCAGACTGATGTTGTCCACGAGCACTCTATAGCCCTCCAGCCTTATTTTGCCCTCGTGTGTATGTGCACCCAGGATCCTTTTTCCAGGACACCATGAATCATTTCACATATGTATGAGAGTCTTCATCAGACACCCACCTCCTCCTTTAGCTGTTTAGATGCTGCCTGCTGGTTTTACCTCTTCCATTCATAAAACTCTGATTTTATTGTAGCCAGAAGCAGAATAAACACACCTGTAGACTCAAAAAGGTGAATAAAATCTATTTTACTTCCATGTGGATTATGACTAATGTTTATTATCACTCTTATAATAAACTAATTGAATAAATAAGTTGTAACTAATTACTCCTGTTTGCAGTCAACATCAGTGTGAGCCATTAATAATTGAGATTCATCTTCTTCTATTTTCTAATGAAGTCGTTTCTGCAGCATAAACACGCATAAACAAGATTCAGACCTAAAACAAAAGGAAAATTTTGTTTCTTTTGTGTTTCATTTAAAAGGTTTCACTCACCCTCAGCGACCAGCAGCAGCGGGATTCTGTTCCAGATGAAACGGGTCAGCTCATCACAGACTTCCGAGGGTCCAAACAGAGGAAACCAGGAGGGAAAAGAGGGTTTATTTAGAATAAATCTCCACTTAAAAAAATCTCCAAAGGCGCATAAACATCTAGAGGAGAGAAATCCAGAGCTGCATCTGAAGGGGGGAGGGCCCAGGAGGAGGAGGAGGAGGGCTGGAAAAACTTCATAAGTGACAGCAGCGGGGAGGAGGGAGGTTCAGAGGGGAGGTCCAGAGGGTTGTTTTTATCTGCACCGGGCCTCCAGACCTTCATGAGCAAGTGTGAGTGAGCGTGTTCAGGAATTTTTAGGGAATAAATGGTCCAGTGGGAAAATACCTGGAAAACAGATGAGCTGCAGGGACATTCTGGAAAACTGCAGTTTATTCATAACCACAGAGGGAGAAGAACTTTCAGATTATTATTTAGGAAACATAAGCCTGCATTTATGTTGACATTAATTAGAAACAACCCAAACTAACCTGCATCATCAAGCTGGTCATTTAGGTTCATTCT